TAGTCCAAGCAACCACATTCCACTTAGGAATAACATCAAACAGTTTCAATCCTGCTTCCATGGCTCCACAACAAGCATACATGTGGAGCAAAGCAGTGGAAGCATACACATCAAAGTCAAACCCAGTTTTCACAATGCAGTTGTGAACAGATCTTCCGCAGTTGTGATCTCTGATTACCGAACACGCTTTGAGCACAAACGGGAACGTAAAATTGTCCGGCAAAGAACCCATTTGCAGCATTTTTCTGTACATGATCAGAGCCTCAACTGGGGTGTCACTGTTGGAGTAACCTCTGATCATGGAGTTCCAAATGTAGATGGTCGGCTGAGCAATTCTGTTAAAAACCGACCTTGCGTAGTGGAGGTCACCGGCTTTTGGATCGACACAAAAATCAATAAGCTTGCTCACAGGAATTCTACTTCTGATAACCGGTGAAGTTATCATCAAGCCATGAAGCTGTTTCAGCTCAGCCATAGTTTTGCATTTCTCGAAGAGGCATAGAATTGTGTCGTAATGTTTCTTCATAACTCATACATGCTTCTTCTGTTTGAGTAGAAGAAATTTATACATATCTATATATAATGGCCTGAAAATGGGCATTTTGGGAATCATCTGATAAAATAATAAAAGGTCAAATAAATACACTCCTGTACCAATATTGCAATTATAATACCCTTTGTAGGTGAAAATTGAAACGACATTTTCAAATTCCATGACAAATTCAATGCAAGTTCAAATTGAGAGAAGAATACAATGACTGAAAACAAATTGAACAAAAAAAAAAGACAATCTTCATCTCATTGAGTATGGTATGAAAAATTACAGAGAAAAACAAAAGCAAAAAATTGTTCTTTTTCAAGCTTTCTTCAAAAACACTCTTCCTCTTTTTCCTCTTCTCATTCGTCTTCTCACAGTGTCGACCAGCGGAATCGTCACCCTGAACCTAGCAAGCCATTTCTGCAATTCCTCTCTCCTGAAAGTGAGACCGACCAGAAAACTCCAGAGGCAAAGTCCAAGAACCCAAGCCTGAACTCCTCCGGTCTTCTCCCACCACTGAATCAAAGCGACTCCGAAGGGACCAAGCCCTAGGCCCCACCAAAACGCGTTGCTCTCGATTTCTCTCCCAAACAGCAAACCTAAACCACAAATCGCAATGAATCCGTACAGCCACAAGTTCCTCTTCCGTCTTCTTTTTCTCCACCCGTCGAAACCTCCCCATCCGAAGCCCTTCCAGAACCCTAGACCGCCGCAGCCGCCGGCGGTTCCATCTCCGCCGCCGATTTCTTCGAGGACCAAATCCAAAGGCTGCGGCAAGATCTTGAGGCTCGACGCGACGACCGAAATCAGATTGATCAAGAATCTTGTGGATTTATCGGAATTGATTCGTTTTCTTCTCTTTCTTGCGCAAATGATCGGATTTTGGAGGTAGATTTGAGGCGCATTGGAGAGGAAGGAGCCGAAATCGGGAGATTTTCGTGGAAATGGAGAGATTTGAAGCGAAACGGTCCTTTCGGCGATGGTGTTGAAGCGTCGAGAGTTGTATGAGAGGAGGATTGGGGCTTTGAAGATTAGGGTTTTCAGCATTGTTCTCCTGGTGTGCTCTGCTCTGAAGAAGAAGAAGAAGAAGAAGTAGAAGAAGAAGAAAGTAACCGTTTGAAAAGAGCTGAGCGGGTAGTGAGTTTTAGGCCATTGTTTTTCGTGAATGTTTTTCTTTCTCTCTCTCTCTTTTTCTTCTAAAAATATATAATAAAATAAAAGTTTCTCTCTCTAATTTCTGGTTGGTAAGATTGTCAATCTTGACAGTGATACGACGACACGACTCAAAATTTATACGAAATTAATGAGTTTGAGTTTATCATAAATAAGTCCGGTTCAAAATCAGGTCGAATCCATAAAACACAATTAAATAATGTGTCATTTTCAGATTGACCTGTCAACCCGTAATTGATCATTCATAACCCGTTTATTAAACGTGTCATATTTGAGTAATACGATTATATAACCTGTTTGTTACCCGTTTATTACTCAGGTTAAAAATGTTTTACGCTATTTAGTTTACCTCTCCATTCTCGCGTCGCCTCACCGCCTCACCCAAGTCCAACATTTCTACTTTTCTTCTCTCTCGACTCTTGTCTCTTCTTTTCTCTTCTCTGTGACTCTCCACCGCCTAAGCTCTCAGTCCACCGGAGGATCACCGCGTAATCTCTCAGTCCACCGGACCACCACGTGATCTCTCAGTCTACCGGATCACCGCCGCTTCTCTCAGTCCACCGGACCACCGCGTGATCTTTCCTCTCCACTCGCCACACAAAACACGGTGTTTCTCCGCCGCAAGCAAAGATTAAGGTAAAACCCATCCCCGCTAATTTTCTTGTCTTTCGGTTGGATCTATCGGTGATATGTATATATCTATGTAAGTTGTTTGGATCTGTTCTGATCATGGTGTTTCGTCTTGTTCGGATCCTATCATTACAATTTTGTGTTTTTTCTGTACTGTTAGATCTTTAGGCATTTTTTAACCGAATGACGTGATGTGATATATACCTAGTATTTCGATGAAATTTGTTTATTTGATTATTGTCAAAGCTTGAGAAGATAAATGATTGTGTTCGGTTTTTGTGTTCCAATGGTTCCTTGAACCTGGCTAAAGTTGGCACCTTTGATCGGAGTCTAAAAGAAATGGTTAAAGATTTTGAATTTCTTCATTACATTTGTTTTTTTTCCTCTTCATTTGTTACTGGGAAAATTGTCTCCAAATGGAACCAATGCTGTATCCCCATGTTATTAAAGAGGAATAATGAACAAATCTGGAGATTATTTCCCTTAAAAATGAATTGGAATAGCTAATACTTAGAAGCGTGATAACATTTTGGAACTTGAGTATTTGTTTTGTTTGATATCATTTATCTAGCATTGTTAGGTCTAGAATATCAATGTTTAGAGTGAAATGCCTGGGAGATGAGAAATTGATGACTACTTGTTTGTCTTGTCATTTATAATGATTTTCTTTTATGGCCAGAATGCTTTTAGCCGTGGACTTTCCCCATGTCCCCTTGAAGTTATCACATAAATTTTTTGATTACATTATTCCTTTTGAAATTGGGAACTATCGACTTTCGTTCTTAAAGTTTTTGTGATGATACTTAAAGATTTCTCAAAATTCAGGACCCAATCTAAATGGATTGTTTGGAAGGCAGTCTGGAACAACTCCAGGATACTCTTACTCTGCTGCTAACAAGAACATGGCTGTGATTTGGGAGGAAAAGACATTGTATGATTACTTGCTAAACCCCAAGAAGGTATGAATGTTTTCAAGTTTCAATTTACTTTCTCTATTATCTCATGGCTTTGTGATTTCGGAATGCTTGTTTGATTCTTTTAGACTTCTAGTATCTTGGCTAACATGCCTCTATGTGTATGTGATGTTTGGTGCTCAAACTTTAGCTTATGCTTGCTATGGTCGGGCATTTCTTCTTCTAATTCTTGGATAATTTCTTTTATATTTTTATCTCGGTGCGAATATTGTTATAAGTTTTATATACATCAGGAACTGATGAGAAAGGATAAAGGCTTGAAGATATTATTGCAATATGCTCTTTTTCTTCCACAATTAAACTAATGTTAACTAATATTTTATTTTGTGCAGATTAATTTAACATAATGGAAATTGATCTTGAGTCCATTGAGTCTCAAAGTGTGGATGTTGAGGTTCAAGAGATTGATGGGTCGAGTTTGAATACCGAAACTCAAGGCGAACAACTCTAGAAAAGAAAAAAGAAGCTGACCTCAAAAGTTTGGAGTCACTTTGTTCATCTTCCTTTGGGTCCGAACAAGAAATTGAATGCCAAGTGCAAACATTGTAACTCTGTGTACCTCGCTGATAGCAAGTACGGAACTGGTAATCTAAAACGCCATCTTGTGAGTTGTCTGAAAACCTCTTACCGTGATATAAGGTAGATGCTCATTGCCCAAGAAGCTGGTGCAGTGACACTTAGTGGAGGTAAGTATGATCCTAAAAAATTCCGTAAGTTGGTTGTAACAGCTATAATCATGCATGATCTACCTTTTAGTTTTGTTGAATATGCGGGAATAAGGTCTCTATTTCAGTACTTGCACCCTCAAATTCAATTGGTCTCTAGAAATACTGCAAAGGCTTATGCTTTAAAGTTTTACAAAAAGGAAATGTCACGAATTAAATGCATGTTAGAGGCTACTCCAGGTAGAATTAGCTTTACTTCTGATGCATGGAGTTCTTTTACTAGTGATGGATATATTTGTCTCACTGCGCACTTCATAGATAAGAATTGGAACTTACAAAATAGAGTGTTAAACTTTAGTTTTATGCCACCCCCACATAGTGGCGTTGCTTTATCTGAAAAACTTTATGGTTTTTTTAGTGACTAGAGAATTGAGAACATGGTGTTTAGTGTGACATTAGATAATGCTTCTGTAAATGGTGTTTCTGTTGACATGTTAAGAGAGCAACTAGTTGTGAAAGGGGCTTTTGTACCATACTAAATTTAGTTGTGCAAGAAGGTTTGAAGCAGATTGATGATTCTATTGTTAAGATTCGTGATAGTGTCAAATATGTCAAGAGAACTCAAGTGAGGACGAAAGTTTTTAGATTGTGTGAAGTTAGTTGCAATTGGTGATAAGAAAGGGTTGTGTCAAGATGTACCAACTAGGTGGAACTCGACATATCTTATGCTTGAAAGTGCTCTTTACTATCTCCGTGTATTTCAACATTTAGAGTTGAGTGATTCAAACTACAAGCAATGTCCTAGTGCCGAGTGGGACAAAGTTGAAAAGATTAAAACTTTTTTGAAGTTGTTCTATGATGCAACTCTTAAATTTTCTGGAACAAAATATCCCACTGCCAACTTGTACTTCCCTTCCATTTGGCATTGTTGCTTCATGTTGAAACAATATTCAGAAGGTGATGATGAGTACTTAAAGTATATGGCAACTCAAATGTGGGGTAAGTTTCAAAAGTATTGGTCTCAGTTCCATCTTACCTTTTTAGATCCTCATTTTAAGCTTAGGCTCGTTGATTTTAGTTACAAAAAGCTTTATGGAGATGATTGTTTTGAATGCATATCAATGAGAAGTAAGTTGTACTCTATTTTTGAATAGTACAACAAAAAAAGAAGGATTCAACTAGCCAAAAGACCAATGCGTTTGAATCTTCTATGATGGAAAAAGAAGGAAATGATGATGTGGATGCTATATTCAAGGTAATTCCTCTATTTATTGGTAATGCGGATGCTTTATGCTTATGTGTGCTTGTGTATTCTTATACTACCTCGTTCTCATTTTGTAGGAATTTGATGAGATGTCTTCGGTTGAGTCTACTACCGCATCATAGAAATCAGAGCTTGACCTTTATTTGGATGAGCCAAGACTGGCTAGGAACATGGAGCTTGATATCCTTTCCTTTTGGAAATCAAACCAATTTCGATATCCAGCACTAGTGTCACGCCCCTAAACCGGGGTTGGTGATGTGGAGGCTCGTTTAGAAATTTAAACTTGTTTGAGAAATAGTGATTAGCAAAATAATTTAATTCCTTTCAAATCTAAAACATTCAGGTATTTCCAAACGAGCCCCTGCATTCAAGAGAAATTTAATTTCAAGAACGGTGGTGGAATTTCCAACTAAACCAGTTTAAAACCACGTCTCTGGTATCATGTCAGGAATTCCCACAGGTGTTTAGCATACATGAATATAAACAAAAGTAAATGTGACATCAACCACAGTCTAGTAATATTTAAGTTTACAATTCATAATCTCTTATACATGCCTTGAAATAAAAGATAAAAGGAAAGATAACTCTTCACTTTCCGAGGTCAAGTCCACGTCACCGGTAGTAGCTGCCTACTCCGCACTACTCCTCGCGTCTCCTGGAGGGGTTTAATACATTTGAAAACAGGAAAATGTGAGCGAAAGGCCCAGTAGGATAAAATTTTATAAAGCATTTAAAATAAAGGTACTCACGGTCCGAAGATATACATCCGGAACCGATCATCCCTTTTTAGAAAAGGAAATACTCACAGTAAAAAATATCTGTATAATGAAAGTGTGCATTGGCCAAAATCATTTAAAATGAGGCTAACAAGGATATGGACAAGAATATCCTACCTGTTGGATATCAAACCTGTGGCTGTCTTCACGTAGCCCTAGCTCTGCTTGCCTTTGAGGCTCCAATTCCAATCGTGCCACTAACTTTCCCATCAAAATCAACAATTTAGAGTTTGACTTTTCTCATCAAACATCATCGTTTAATTAGACGCAATTGTATCATATTAGTGTGCCATAGTTCAAAATCAATGTTCATAAACAATTCTTAATTCAAATCATGATTCTTTGTAGATAGAGATTCATCCCGGAGAATCGAATGGAAAACAAGGATTCATGTCGCTAATCCACTCATTTTGAATTCTCAAATAAGGTTAGGTCAATCCCACATTGAGTTTCGGGGTCAAAACAGGATTTTCTGGGCTGTTTAGGGTCAGTTTCAGTGGGAACCGGTCGACCGGTGACAGAGGGGTGCAACTCCACCGGTCAGCCGGTGGAGAGGTGACCCGTC